AAAAGACCCATTGTGCTATGAACTCATGGTATGCAAAGCTGAGAAAAATGGAACTATGTTAGTCTCAATTCTTGTGGAGTTTCCTTGAGCCATATGTGAGACTAAATAGTTAGTTTTGTGACCTTTTGCAGGCCACCTGCTTCTTTCCAATCAAAGAGGTCAGAGAGGATGAGGGAAGTTAAAAACTAATAGAGAATTTTAGGAGAAGATTTTGTTGTTTATGAGTCCTATTTACCCTCAAAAAGGAGAGGTGGGTTGTGCTCCCTTACTTCAACCCTAGAAAAGATAGCTTCAACTGAATAATTTAGGAAGCTTGCTATGCAAACCATAATTTGGGAGACATATTGGACCAATACAATTCACACGTGAAAATCTAAAGGCCTTGGCTAGCTACTCTAAGGGTACATTTTACAAGCAATGTAATCGAGGCTTTGATGGACTTCTCTGAGGTCATCCACAGAGAAGTGATGAAGATAGAATTAAAATCCAGACCTGATTCTGAGCTTACATAGTTACTTACTGTGTAATGCTTCTCATGTAACTGTGAAATCTTTCTTATTTTCTTTTTTTTTTTTTTGGTTTTTCTCCGGTACCGGGAACCGGAACTCATGACCTTGCGCTTGCCAGGCAGGCACTTTTGCCGCGGAGCTAAATCCCCAGCCCCCTTTCTTATTTTCAGAACTCTATACTTATGCATACTTTCAGCTGAATTCTTCAGCAGGGAACTCCACCAGTACAATTTCAAACTCTCAGCAACCTTCTAAAACACTACTTATTAGATCAATAGTTTGTATGTAGAAGTGATCCAACTTCTCCAAATAGTGAGTTAGGTAAACTCTAAGTGACTCTGTGCCTCTCCTCTGAGATTCTTTCACACTTACAATATTTTATTGGCTGAATTATGCCTCCTGAAATTCACATGTTGCAGTCCTGATCCTCCATACCTAAGAGTATGATCTTTTTTGGAAATGGGATCATTGTAGATGTGGTTAGTTATGATGAGATCATTAGGGCAGGCTCTAAGCCAGTACCACTGGGGTCCTTACCAGAAAGGGAAATTTGGACACAGATGTGGACAGGCATAGAGAGATGATATAAAGAGGTGCAGGGAGAAAACAGTCACATATGAAGGTCCCACCGCCCCCTCAAAAGGAGCCAACTGTGCCCACACCTTGCTATTGACCTGCTAGACTCCAGAACCACAGGACAATATATTCCAGTTGTCTAGGCTACCCACTCATGGCACTTTCTACAGTTCTCTCTGAAATGTAACTAGAACTGCTTCCTGAATGCTTGAAACTCTATTGTGAAATCTTGGAGTTCAACACAGGAAGTGCTCTCATCCTAGACAAAATGGGAAAATCCAGTTCATAATAACTGTTGCAACTCTACTGTAGAATAAGAGATTTCATGGGTTTTTTAAGCATACGTTTCACTTTTTAGCATACATTTCATGGTTTGAATTTGCTTTCCCACAGAAATTTAAATGTTTCCATATCCCCAATTTCCAACTCCATAGCTTGACTTTTAAGATCCTTAACAATATCTTAATATAATTTTCTGCACTTGCTTCCTAACATAGTTTTCATAAACCCTATGGTCCAGTCAGGCTGGAACACCAGTCCGAGAATAGTGCTGGGTATTCCTGCCTTTGCTGTCTTCACCTGTCTGTTTGAAACAGCTTCTCCATTCTTCAACACATCCTGAAAACTCCAGTTAAAGTCTTCCTTCAAGCCCCTATGGAAAAATCATCATTACCCTTGCACCACTGTGGCAAAATATCCGACACAAACAACTGAAAAGAAGAAGAAAGATTTGTTTTGGCTCATGATTTCAGGGGTTTCAGTCCATGGTTTGCTGGTTTCACTGCTTTGAGCTGAGGTGAGGCAGAAACACCATAGCTATGGTGGAGGAAAGAGGCATACCTCACCCCAGGGCAGCCAGGAGGAAGGACACAGAGACAGCATAAGACAGAGAAAGACAGAGAGCCAGAGAGAAAGCAGCCGGGGACCACATACAGTCCCAAAAGTCCTCAACTAGACCCAACCTCCAGTTTCCATCACCCCCTAATAATGCAATCACATTATGATCTCATTAATGGATTAATCCCCTTCATCAATATAGAGCCCCATCACTCCATCATTTCTCAAAGCCCATCAGCTGGCAACCAAGCTGTGTTGGTTTGGGGCTTATTTTGCAAGGGGAGACAATACCATACAGGACACATATTTTATATGATTATTTATAATAATCACCCAAAGCACCTTATACAAAAGAGTGCAGGAAATCTGTCCACACACTAAGACCAAGGAATCCAGCTGAGGGCCTGGATCCCACGGAAATGTCCTGCATGAGTTCAGCTGAAGACCTAGAGCCCATAACAATGCCTCCCATGAATCCAACTGGAGGCCTAGAGCCCATAACAATATCTC